GTGGGGGGGGGGGGGGGTGGATTATCTAACCAGGAATTTTAAATAAGATGCATAAATTAATTGTTTTGATGGCCTTTGCATTATAAATGTATTGTTTGAACTCTTTTAAAAAGACCAAGAATAGAGGTTTTCTATTTGTGAATTTACATTTGTGAATATGAAACTTAGCCAATAAAATTAACAAGTTACAGACATATACATGAGATGAGAATCGTTTTTCTAAGCAACCAAACAGAACATTCTTCCAGTGCAAAATAAAATCATTATCAATATTATATATGTATAAAATACAAAAGTTAAACCAAAATGTTTTTATAAAACGACAATACCAAAATAAATGAACAGCAGTCTCAGGGGAATTACCACAGAAAGTGCAATATCTAGTCTAAACCTCTTACAATAAACTTTCACTGGATAAACTCTGAAAAGCGTCCGTAACATTACCAACCGATCTAGAGGCACTGACTTAATTTCCTGTGGCGCATGCGTATAGCCTACACCGAGGCAGGTCTGTTGACAAATATCGGGGGAGGGGCCACTGCAGCGTAAGTAGATCATTGTTTAGTCTGAAATGTGAAGAACATAATTGAGAATGGTTTCCTTAATGTAGCTTATTTATTAATATTTACATCGTATTTATTACCTACTGTGGCCACTACGTCCACCAATAGAAGAAAGTATTTTATTAAACATCTGTAAAAACCGCTGGGTCCGAGTGATAAGTAGTAGAAGCGTTGGATCTGTGTCGACTTTGCCACAATGATTTGAACAATGAACATTTGATTTCCGGTGACATTTTCAGATTAAAATAGCCTAACTGTTTACACACATACTGAAGCGTCGCCAACTAATGAGGCATATGAAGTACAAATACAAACCGTATGTATTAGTAATTTATTAAGCAAGTGAAAATGCGCATGGTCATCACACATGTAACGGCCACGCATTTTTGTTTTGTTTCCTGTAAGTTAACACTTTATTGTGAAGGCCAACCGGATAGTTTCCGTTATTACCCTCAGTAACGCTCACCGTTTCAGCTAGCGCCAAACCTTTCACATCGTTTCATGTTTAATCTTCTGCTTTAGAGGCGTTATTGTCTGAAGTCATATCAGTAGTCAGTTTCATGTAGTTTGGAGCAAATAGTCTTCGAAGTTCTTGTCAAACTTATGAACTTGTTTCACAGTCTGGCTGTGGGAGCAAGTGAAGGCGGTCTCCTCGTTCAAGTCTTTCGGCAGAAATGAAGAGGTGAGTGGGACGGTAATATGCGCCATTGTAGACTAATAATAGCACAAATATGTCGATACACTAGACTACCCGTCCACTGACTAGTAGGTAATTAATCAGTTAGCTAATTTAACCACAGCATGTCTCCTCTGATGTGTTTGAGCAGCCAGCAGAAAGGCCCTGAACCAGATGGGAGTGTTACTGTCAACGAGGAAGGTAAAACATCAAATATTATCGTTACCCCTACACTATGTTTATATTTTCTATTGTGTATTATTTATGAAAATGTTTTAAGTTACTCAAATGTCCTAGGATATCTATCTATCTGTTTGGTATAGTCATTGTCTTTGAAACTTTAAAGTTCATAGACTGGTTAATGTTATCATACAGTATGTTGTGTCTCGGAAATGTCTTAACCCAGTCCAGTGGAACTGTTCAAAGTAACTGAATGCCTGTACTTGGGTACTTTAACCATGAACACATCCTGATTGTGCTTTCAGTACAGGCTGTTGTTTCTTTACACTGTCTTGAAAGAGCACGTGTGGCTGTGTGAGGATACCTGAAGCACTAAAAATGTAGTGTTAATTGTCTTAAAGTGTTTTCCCTGGCCTGTTATTATATAACCATAAACTGTACATATGTGTCCCTGTGCTCCTGCAGGGTCTGTAGCCACTGCAGAGGATCCAGCAGCTATTGCCACCATTCAGTCTGCAGCCACCTTCACTGACCAGCCCATCAAATATCTTTTCAAGACAGAAGGATCAGGCGGGCAGGTAGGAAGGAGTGTTAACCAAAAAAATCTGGCAGGCAAAACAGTCATTTAAGTTAACCTTTGGGGTGCTATTTCAGTTCTGGCCATGTATTCTTTGACCACAAATACACTTATTTACCACAAGTCTCCGGGGGGAAGTCGTAATTCATGTAGTCCTTTTGGAGATGTTAAGCACTGACACTTGTACCTTAGCAGGACAACACAATGAAAATAGATTTTGAATTCTTAAAGGATAACTCTAGTGCCTTTCTCTGTGTTGGTACTTTCAAAATCGAAAGTGTAAAATGATCTTTTTTTTTCAGTCTCCGAAGTAAGAAACAGTCAGCTGCACATCATCTCTGCTTTGTGTGTTGATATTATGTGTATTGCGAGAATCTAGTGGAGTAGTGTAAACAGAGACTCAGTTTACTGTGAGAAAGAAACCCAGTGCAGCAGTGTGGCTCACTGGTGTGTTTGTAATAGTTTTCAGACAGCAATAGAGGTTTTCATTACAGATGAATATGCTAAACCTGGTTCAGAATTTACAGACTGTACACGGTGAGTGTATGATATTCATTACTAGTTCACATCTCTGTCTATCTTTTTTTCTTTCTGAAAATATCAAAAACAGAGAAAATTACCAACCTAATCCTTAAATACCGTAGATACAGCACTAAAAAGTATGGACAAATACACCAGAGTGAGTTTAAATTGAATTTGTAAACTGAGAGGAAGTGCAGTTTTAGACAGTTTAAACAGTTGGGTTAAAGCAAATTTGGCAGTTTCTGAAATGTCACTATAGATAGCCATTTGTGAATCCCCCTTAGGGGGCTCGTAACATTTACTGTACCATTGAGTTCCAATGCTCAGTAGTAGATTTTGTGACAAGTGATTTGTTTCCCTGTGGACGTTTCCTCTCACCTTAATGTGAACCTAATGCTTAACCTGACCCCAGTCTTACTCTAACCAGCTACCTCTGCCTACTTCCTAGACTTAGGATTTTAACCGGCTTGTAAGTGACTGTAGCCAAAGCACCCTCCCTTTTAGTCTACACTCCATCCCCATAAAACAAAGAAACAAACAAAAAGTGAGGGCAGTTATCAGGGTATCCTCCCTGAGGCCGTCTCGGTTGATGTGGTGCTCAGAACACCTCTGCTACAGTCACAGCAGTGGAGAGTTGTCATTTGTGAGCATAAACAGCATTTGAGACAGTAGATTTGAATGAAATTTCAGACGTTGCTGTGACTGACTTGAGTTTGTATGTAAAAGATAAAACAAAAATGTATACAGTATTTTTGCTTTATCTTTCACATACAGAGGTTTTCTACTGTCTCTGCATATATACAGTACATACAGATTTCATGTCTGTGACTTCACATTTCTTGATAATTGTGTCCATATGCCTTGTGAATGATTTAATGGAAACCCAAAAGTAGAAGTTAAATTTAGCTTCTGTATTTGCATGCACTGCAGTAGTGTCTGTGTCACCACAGTAGAAATGCAAGCTTGACCACTCAGTGCAGTGTGTTATTTTGCAGGTGACCTACAGAGTGATCCAGGTGTCGGATGGCCAGCTGGAGACACAGTCAGATGGAGCTGCAGCGGTCAGCCTGGTTGCTGGTTTCCCTGGAACCCAGACTGTCACACAGGTGAGAGCAACACCGACTAACTCAGGAGGGAGCATGCATTTCCAAACACCCAGTTCCATTAGCACAACTTCAATTTCTGTCCAAATGCATACACCCCCCCCCCCCAACATTCTTTTATAACAAACAAGCAC